AAATAGACACTGAGAGAGAGAGAGAGAGAGAGAGAGAGAGAGAGAGAGAGAGAGAGAGAGAGAGAGAGAGAGAGAAAGAGAAAAGATGGTATTTTGCCTTAGCCTTGAAAACTGATGTCTGTGAAAACTTACTTTCTTCAGACGCTTGGCTGCTCGATTCGTCCAGGCTAATGACTATGAAACAGGCGTCTTCAATGGTGATGTGGGCACAGTGCTCAAGGTTGACACGTGCGAGAAGCTGGTACGTCAGTGACTGGAGTCGAAAACCTCAAACTTTGAACTCTGTGCTTTGTACTTTGCATGCAGGTCATCAGGCCATCCAACATAGACTGTGTCCCAGCGGCGCAGATCTGGCGATACCACCTTATTAGAGCCACCTGTCTGGAAAAAAAATCTTGATAAGTCAGAAAGGTTGAAAAAGGCATCAGTTGAGCGCAACACTGGTATGGCTAGATCTTAGAAATTGGGATATGCAGTCCTTCGGGACATCTGTCAAGTTTTGAACGATACGGAGAAGATTAGCATGGCTCCTGTGCATCAATGGCACACATAAATTGAGAAATGGTCCAAATAAAAATTTAAAAAAACGAGAATATGCATATTTAATCATCTGAATGTGAGTGCCCCAATTTCTGGCTTGTTTGGAACTGTGTTTGGGGACACAAAGGCTGGGGAGGAAGCCAGAGAGGGGGCTTACACCTTGGGCTTAGAGCGGTTCAGATAGGGTGCTTTCAAGAAATTGTTGCAATTAAACCACCAGTACTTGGGCACTGCGCGCTGCGTCGGCCGCCCAAATCTCGAAGCAGTGCGGGCTGTCGATTCGATTTATCGATGGCCCGCCGGCCGCGGAAATCGCGTAGCGTTAACGCTAAGGCATCGCCCAAGTACTGGTGGTTTAACAGTTCCAAGACCATAGCGACCAGTTGCTCTTTTTTTTTGTATTTTGGGGAGCATCGGTTGCGTTCCTCGCCACTGGCAGGTCACATCAAGAGTATTGGGAAATGGATTGCAGTAGGAATGCAGCTAACATGTCCAAGAGCACAGCTAGAGTATTGTTGAATGATGCACGAGTCATGATCGGTAATCAACGGTAGTTGTGATTCTGGCAAACCAGAATGACGGCATACTCACACCAGGACTTTTTTAGATGTATATGGCTGCAATTGCAGTGAGACCTGGATGAATCTGACCACAATCACGTCCAGAGCTTCGCACAAAAAGTCCTGGTCTCAGTAGTCTGAATATACCCTGAGACTGGTGGTGTTGTCCCAGGACCAAGTGGCAGCTAAGAGCACATAGCCACAACCAGATCGCAGCCTACTCGGAACCCGTCTCCCTGCGACAGACACCTGCTGGTTGCGTGTCTCTCCTATGGATGGCAGGAGAAGAATGACGCGCAAGTCCACGAGTACGCTTGCAGAACGATGCTGGCCGAATGAAGGAGCTGTGCAATAAATGTTCGATTGTAACCCACGTACATGCATGTACATTGTATACCATGTGCTTGCTATGTCATGCCACAGACTGTAGCGAAGTTCAGATCTGTTAATTTGTGTGAAATCATCAATTGAGTGCAGAATAGGACAAAAAGAAGGGGAAAACAAAAAAGAAAAAAAAAAGAAGACGACAAACAAAGATATACATAGGAAGTATTAGGAACATATTCCCCCTTCTCTGGCTCCTCCATTCTTCTCATTGCCTTTTACTCGGCGCATATTAGGCCCCATAATCATTATTGCAAATAATATGAGTGCAATTTGTTTCCCTCTCAACCCCTGTGTATATGTACCAATATACCACAGCCCAGAATCAGCAAGGCAAAGCACAGTACAGATGGTTCTCACGGAGCATCCAGTCTGCTGCCCCCAAAGCCTATACCAGAGCCCGATGCTTGTCTTCCATGTCCTTGTGTGTTCCTCATATAACGCCCTGTGCCCTCGTGCTCAAACAGCTTTAAACCACCAGCACCTGACCCGGGCAAACTTGAGAATCGAAATCCAGCCAATCCGACAATTTTGGAGGCTCAGGGCTACCAGGCCAACAATGGCTGGCGGCGCGCTCGCGTTTCGGCAACGCTTGGTGCGTGGGGGCAATCCGCCTTGACGAAAAGAGGCTCGGAGGTACTTGTGGTTTAAGACAGCTTTTAGAATTTCATCTCACCATTACCTTCATTGCCCCTAAGGTGCTACTACCGGTAGGCTTCCTTGGGCCACTGTCAATGATGGTGGTTCTCCACCATCGCCAGAGACACGGTCGGGGTTCAACCAAGGGCTGGCTATTCCCAGTGATCCCCTTTCACGACGAGCTTGAGTCTTCGCAGTGAGTTCTTCACTACGAGTATCTTCAACGGCGTTGAATAAGTCGTGTCCGTCTCGTTGTGGACCCCGACATGCGAATTATGATTCCGCTGTTCTAACCTACTAAACTATTCTGCCTTGAACCACTTGACATTTCCCCTGGTGGGGTTTGTTTTTCAACGCTACCCCACCCAAAAAGCAAGTGGCACAGCGTTTTAGAGCTCTCTCCAAGTCAATGCTGCTTCAATGCTGCTTCACAAGGGCTGCGTCTGCGCAAATATGAGTGGGAGATGATTGCAGCAGACTGACGGCCTGCCTTCAGCTGTGAGAGAAGCTTTCTGCTGACCACCATGGGAGTGTCGATGGCAATAGCAGTGTGCTATTAAACCGTGCAATGCATGTTCTCTGCAAACTGGACCATGTGCATTGCAGTTCCACTAGTGCATTCTCTCAAGTTGGGCCCGTGCTTGGAGCATGTGGCCGTTCCATTGTTAATCCAATGGACCAACTGCAGAAACATGAGCCTGCAGGTAACCAGGAAGGTAATGAAAAGGGGATGGTGGTTAAAAACTTCGAAAGTTTAAAGGATGAAAGGCTGCGGTGTTCACGTCTGAATACAAGACACAGTCATTATCGCTGTATCGAGACTGAAATTCGGGGCAAATTCAGCTTTAGTGACTTTGTATTGTACTCGGGTGAAGACAGTAGTACCTTGGACACACTTCCAGATTACGAGGAGGCGGCTGTGAAAGGCATTCCACGATGCAGACCCCAAATTCGAATTTCAGGGGGTCAAGGTCACAGGCTATAAAAGAGAAAATAAGAAAAAAAAAGGCTAAGGGAGGCCAAGTCGGCCAGTTCAGAAAGGTCGCAGTCGGGTACCTTAGGAGTGAAGTCCAACAGACACCCGGTGAACAGTCAAATCCGAGACGCAAAGGTTGCGTTCTATAAGCAAAAGTCGTGTCTCATATTGAAAAGTCATATTCCACAGTCAAAGGACACTTCTCCAGGCAAAAGTCGTGTCCCAGAGGCAGGAGTCACATCCCACAGCCAAAAGTCATGTTCCACAGGTGAAAAGTCGTGACTCACAGACCCAAGCAGCAGCACACCAATGAAAATTCTGGAAAAGTACCAGGCCCTGACATTCTGAAGCAAGCAGGCCGTGGGCATTATGTGGTACCGGGTCCACGTCAAGCCAAAGGAAGCAAAGGCTGGGACTGAGTGGCGGTTCAGTCCAAGTCAATATAAGGACTGACCAGCCACATTTCAGGGAGATTGCTCATTCGTGAGAAGTGTAGAAGTGCTGCTGAAGTGCTTGTGCGCTATCTGCGAGTAGCATGCGCAAGAGCCCTGCTGGGCCGCGCTGTGCTGAGAGGGAAGGCGGCCATAGCCGCGTAGCTAGTAGGAGGAGATAGAGCTGATTAGTAGCGGATGTATTCAGAGTCAAGATTCTCAAGTAGAGAGCAGGAGAGAGAGAGAGAGAGAGAGAGAGAGAGAGAGAGAGAGAGAGAGAGAGAGAGAGAGAGAGAGAGAGAGAGAGAGAGAAGAAAGTTACCTACCCAGATGAGGATGCTGGTATTGGGTTGCTGAACTCTGCCCTGTTGAGCGCTTGGTGACTGGAACTCCGAAACTGTTTAATATGATAATTTGTTGGAATTTCTAAGCTGCGCATATCTGGGCTTTGCATCTCTGGACTGCGGTGTGGATTTCGTGTGATTTCTCAATGTGTGTGTGTGCTCAAGGTGTCGAGCAGTGAGGCGCAATGCCGCTGTGTCCTATACCTGGCCAAGGAATATGGTAAAAGGGCCTTTACCCGATATAGGCCTCAGGCCTTGTAAAAATAAAGCAGCACGGGCCTTGAAAAAGTAAAGCATTGTGAAAAGGTATCTCGYCAGAGCTCAGAAACGTGAAAGCAGGTCAAAGGTCAAGTTCTCTATCAACAGGCATATTTAAAATTAAGGCAAAGGGCATTGTCAAAAGACTTACCTGTTCACCAGGAGATGTGTATGTCATGTCTGTTTGGGTAAGGGTGTGTCTGTACGTGCAGGCAG